ATGTGCATATATGCATATGTATATATACTTACATACATATATACACGTGTATATATACACATATGTATATGTGTATGCATATGTATACATATACACATATATACATAGGTACACACATATACATATATGTATATATACACGTATTCCATATACACACTGGAATAGTATTTAGCCCTAAATAATACTTACATATACATGTATGTATGTATGCAGAGTGCAGAGCAAGGCAATGCCACCAAGCTGTACTAATACTCATTGTATTCTTCAGCCCTGTGCTCTCACAGTTCTTTTTAAAAAATTAACTTCTTGGGCTGGGTATGGTGGCTCACCCCTGTAATCCCAGCACTTTGGGAGGCCGAGGTGGGTGGATCACGAGGTCAAGAGATCAAGACCATCCTGGCCAGCATGGTGAAACCCTCTCTATACTAAAAATACAATAGTTAGCTGGGTGTAGTGGTGTGCACCTGTACTTCCAGCTACCTGGGAGGCTGAGGCAGGAGAATCGCTTGAACCTGGGAGCTGGAGGTTGCAGTGAGCCAAGATCCAGCCCGGAGACAGAGCAAGACTCTGTCTCAAAAAAAAAAAAAAAAATTAACTTCGGCTAGGCACGGTAGCTCACGCCTGTAATACCAGCATTTTGAGAGGCTGGGTGGACCACTTGAAGCCAGGAGTTCAAGACCAGTCTGGACGACATGGTTAAACCCGTCTTTACTAAAAATATAAATTTAGCTAGATGTGGTGGCAGGTGCCTATAATCCCAGCTACTCAGGATGCTGAGATAAGACTCCCTTAAACCCAGGAGGTGGAGTTTGCAGTGAGCTGAGATCGTACCACTGCATTCCAGCCTGGGTGACAGAGCAAGAGTCTGTCTCCAAAAAAAAATAAATAAAAATAAAAATTAGTTTCCCTTAAGAATGTTATTGAAAAGGTTAAAAAATATATTTTATTACATCACAGCTCTTGAATATACATCTCTTTAGTATTTTGTTAAAATAGGAAGTAGATATCAAATAATTCTGTGCATACCAAAGTAAGATGGTTGTCTGGGAGGAAAAGTCCTTATTTGCATTTTGATTGCTACCTAAACCAGCCATTTTTTCATGATGTGGTATTTCCTTGAAAAGTGCTCTTAAACACCTTGTCTTTCAAAGCTGTCTCCCCAACCCCTGTCTCAAGGAACCAGAAAGAAAAAATTAAGGAGAATAAGAAAAATAAAATAAAGAAGTTGTTCTAACTGAGGCAGTGTTGTGGGGACAGCACAGACCCTCTGCCTTGAGGTAACCCCTCTGCTGGGACAGTACTAACTGCAGCCAGCGTTGGTATCCTACTGCCTTCTCAAGAGAGTTTGAGGTTCAGCCTGAGAGAATGAGCTCAGGGAGTTCAGGGAGTTTTCTTTTCTTTTTTTCTTTTGAGATAGAGTCTCACGCTTGTCGTTCAGGCTGGAGTACAGTGGTGCGATCTTGGCTCACTGCAACCTCTGCCTCCTGGGTTCAAGTGATTCTTCTGCCTCAGCCTCCGAGGTAGCTGGGACTACAGGCATGTGCCAGCATACCCAGGTAATTTTTGTCTTTTTGGTAGAGATGAGATTTCTCCATGTTGGCCAGACTGGTCTTGAGCTCCTGACCTCAGGTAATCCACTCACCTCGGCCTCCCAAAGTGCTGGGATAACGGGCACAAGCCCCTGCGCCCAGCCTAGTACAGGGAGTTGTCATGTGCATCGCTAGAGAAAGGAAGAGAGGAATGTTTAAGCCTTCAAAAGGTGAAGGGAAAGGGTTTTTCCAACCAAATGTGATGGGTAAAGCAAAGATTCTAGGCACAATTCTAAACAAAATTACTAAAATAATGATATGCAGGGTGCTTGCAAAAAGAGAGTTAAAGTTAAAATCACAAATCACGACTGTATGGTCTTGGTATTTGACAGATATTTTCCCAAAAATTAATGAAATGAAACTCAAGGAAAATATTTGACAGTGTTTAGTTGCCAGTGAAAAAAATCTGGGCTTTCAAATGAAAATTAGAATTTCGGAGAATGTATATCCTCCACCATAAGCTTGACAGTTCCTAACACAGCCCTCCCTATCTGTGGTTCCTCATCCGTGAATTCACTCAACTGTAGATTGAAAATATTCAGAAAAAAATGGATGGTTTCATCTGTGCCGAACATGTACAGACTTGCCTTGACATTTTTAAAAAAACAATACAATGTAGCAGCTATCTATATAGCATTTATATTGTATTAGGTATTATAGTAATCGAGAGATGATTTAAAGTACCTAGGAGGGCTGGGCAAAGTCACTCACACCTGGAGTCACAGCACTTTGGGAGGCCAAGGCAGGAAGGATAGCTTGAGGCCAGGAATTTGAGACCAGCCTGTAACATGGTGAGACCCTGTCTCTATAAAGAATATTTAAAAATTAGCTGGATATGATGGATGGTGGCATGTGCCTGTGGTCCCAACTGCTCAGGAGGGCGGAGGTGGGAGGATCACGTGAGGCCAGGAGGTCCAGGCTGAAGTGGGATGAAGATGAAAAACAGCACTTCAGTGGTCCTGACATCTTTCTGTACTCCCAGGAGCAGACCACTAGGCTAGACAATGCCTCTAAGTTTCAAATGTCAATTTACTAGAAAATCAGGGGTTCAAGAACTTAAAGGGGACACACAACCAAAATGCTGCTGACAAAGTTTTTACTCGCTAGCAGAGTGGTTCCATGGACCCAAAGCCTGATGATGTTGGCACAGTGTCCCGAGTATGCACTTGAAGGCGTGAGTATGGTACTGACGCCACAGAGACCTTCAGATGATGAGTGTGTCTGCAGCAAACATACTCATCTGCTTTGGGAAAGGATGCCTGATGAAATGAACACGGGTGTGAAGGCAGAGTATGCCTGGTTGCAAGGCCTGGAAAGACTGATTTATTACCCCTCTTTGATGGGAGTGCACTTGGGTACTGAGAGCTTAAGCTCTTCTCCAATCCTTTGGCCCTACAAAGGGATTCTTTTCAGAACCTAATCTGTTTGCCTGCAGAGGAGCATCTTGGATGCCACACTAACCCTGAGCATACACCCTGTGCACAGCCCTAAATAGATAAACCAGCCTGAGGATGGCTTGGGGGCTGGATCCATTTCGCCCACAAGACAGATGTGTCCCTGACCTGTGGGGTTGGGACTGCTTGTGCCCCAGCCAGGGCCTTGCTGCTCTTGTTCAGAGAAGGAATACTGTAGCCTCCGTCTCCTGGGGCTTTCTCCACAGCCAGTGAATCTGTCCACTCCCAGGGGTTTGGGGTTGAGCCACCCTCTTCCGAGGTGACTGCTTCCCAGTAGGGCACCCCTGCCTTCTGATGGACACAGGCTTTCTGTAGATATGCTAAGACAACCCTCCTTCCCCCACTTCAGAGGACAGACCAGCCTTGCAGCCTTCTGAGTCATTCTATCCTTTTTAAGTGATCACATCTCTCTGCGGGGATGTGTTGATTATTATTTTTTTTTAAATTTTTGCCTCTAAAGGCAGCTGTCTTTATACAGTTGGGTTGGGGAGCACCTCATAATAACCCTGCAGACACCAAAAACATTAGCTCTCCTGTCTCTCCTTTCCTCTCCTTTTGCCCTAGTCAGATCCTCTGTCCCTTTTCATATTAAGTCCCCCTCCTCAAGGCTGGGTGACGTGGCTCACTCCTGTAATCCCAACACTTTGGGAGGCTGAGGAGGGCGGATCACGAGGTCAGCAGTTCGAGACCAGCCTGACCAACATGGTGAAACCTCATCTCTATTAAAAATACAAAAATTAGCCGGGCATGGTGGTGTGCGCCTGTAATCCCAGCTACTCAGGAGGCTGAAGCAGAAGAATCGCTTGAACCCAGGAGACAGAAGTTGGAGTGAACCAAGATCCCTCCACTGTACTCCAGCCTGCGCAACAGAGTGAGACTCTGTCTCAAAAAAAAAAAAAAAAAAAAAGAAGTCCCCTCCTCAGTGCCAGCCGCTGATGTGTGTTCTTGGTTTTGCTATTTTTTATTATTTAATGATTTCAACTTTAGATACAAAGGGGATACATCTGCAGGTCTGTGACATGGGTATGTTGCACCTAAGTAGTGTGTGTAGTATCTAATTAGTTCTTAGCCCACGTCCCCACTCACAGCCACGTTTCCCCCCTCCACAACAGTCCCCGGTGTCTGTTGTTCCCCTCTTTATGCCGCAGGTACCCAGTGTTTAGCTCCCATTTGCAAGTGAGAACATGCAGTGTTTGGTTTTCTGTTCCTGGGTTAATTTGCTTAGGATAATGGCCTCCATCTGCATCTATGTTGCTGCAAAGAACATGATTTACTTCTTTTTTATAGCTGTGTGGTATTCTGTGGTGTGTATGTACAGCACTTTCTTAAAGTTGTGATAGACCTAAGAGCAGCCATTAGATGCTGGAATAAAAACACTGGGCACACAGAACAGTGGGATGAATTGCTGAGGTTTCCACTGGTAGTGGGTGGGTAATAGCCAGTGCTGAGAAGAGAAGTCTCCGTTTCCTCCGTCACCCAGGCACTAGGCAACCTGGGGCAGCCCCTCCACCCACCTAAGCCTCTCTTTTCTTATTGTCAATGTGGGAACAACACAGTTGCTGGTGGGGACGTTTTGGGGATTAACCCAGATACCACTAGTGACCGAAAGTGCCACATGTTCTCATACCCAGTCCTGCCTGCCTCCCACCTCTACCCTCTCCTGAGCTCTTTGCTTCAGACTTTCAGTTTCTATGCTCAAGTAAATCTAGAATTACCACATATAAATAGTCTAACACTCTGGGGCCTGAATTTGACAGGAAAGCATGTGGGAGCTTCTAGACTGAGGTCTTGATGGTATCTCCCACCCCACCACACACACCCTGTTGTGAATACTGTCTGGGAGGTGGGGCCCAGCTTAATAACTTAATGAATAGGGTGAAATAATGTTGGACACATTATATTCAATGTAAGAATGCATCGTTACCAACCATTCTCATATTTATATATTTTTTTTCAGAGATCCACATCTTCTGGACCCAACTCTGGAATATGTGAAGGTAAGAAATCAAGATTAAACATGTGTGCAGTAGATTTCTCGTTTGGAACACAACGTTGCTAAGTAATGCTGCAGTCTGGTGTGTGTAGAAAGCTGGTTAGACTCTCCAAAACAACAGGGAAGAAATTTGACTCCCTTAGGCCTTTGGGAGATTTTGTAAGGGTCTCACGTCATCCTATTACAGGTACCCTTATCTGGCCCTTAGAGCCAGATGTGTTTTAAAATTCAGAGTTGTTTTTCCCCCCGCCCCCCAGAAAGGTAATATGGTATGTATAATAATACCCCCAGAGAGGTTTGGGGTCAGCACTCCATGATCACACTCATTATTTTCACAGTGACATGTAAAAATATTCACACTAAGAGGGATTAATAGATGACAAATGATTTTATGTAGTTCAGGTCATATTTTGCCACCAAATGAGGTTGCTGCCAAGTGAGTTTTTTTTTTAACTTTAGTTTTCGGAGTTTTTTGGATTTTGGAGTGTAGACAGGGAATTGTGGACCCGTGCTTACCTTCAGTGGAGGACTGAGGGCTCCCTGAGATTTTATGAGCCATCTTTTCCTTTTCAACAACTACCCTCCTGTTCAGGGCGAATCTGGGGCCAAGTAGTAATATTAGTTACTTAGTTACTTTCCAGCGGGTCTGGCAGTCAATGCTTCTAAATATTCAACCCTTCAAAATAATGTATTTCTTCTGAGCAGGAAGAAAAGATGCTTTTCACTTCTTCCTCTGCCGTCTCATTTTCTGGTGTTGATGTTTGCTTTATTTTCTTTTATTTTTGAGAACTGTAATCTGGCACTTCCTTCAGAAGAAAGAAGTCTGATTGTCACATTTAGTTTCTTGGATTGACGACAACATACTTACTTTTGGGGAGAAATCGTGGCAGTAGTTAGTGTTTAGAGTCAGGAGCCTCATTCCATCTTCACTGTCCCAAGGGCAGGATCCCAGATTCAGAGTATTTAGGCTTGTCACTTTTGTGTGTACCTATGCCTTCCCCGAGAGTTCTGGCATTTCTTCCCTCTTTAAAAGACCCGAGGATGGATGGGAGAAGAGAAAGCTCTAGCAGAACCACTTGGCAGTCATAGTGAAGTTTATCGGAATGGAGGTGGATACTCTTTTTTCCCTTCTCTTATGCCTGCATGACGTCTGAGCTGTGTTTTCATGGAAGCAAATGTGTAATCCTAAACCCTCAGGGTTGCCACACCAGAATCTGGTCAGAGCTTTATAAATGCTGTATCTTTGTCCGTCTCAGATGCATCACGTGTTTTTGTGCAGGTCGTGCATTGCAAACTATTAGAGAATGCTATTCACATAGACTATGATTTAACTTAACTAAAAATGCACTCTGGAATTCTGCGGTGCGTAACAGCAGCCCTTTAAAAGTCACTCCATGCCTTGTTTCCCCAATTGGCTGTCTCCTACCATGGGCCCAGTCTGGCTATGTGTATACCACCTTTCTTTACTCCCAATACCTCACTCTTTTACAAAAGTCTAAACCCCTTTTTTTAATTGCATTTTAGGTTTGGGGGTACATTTGAAGAACATGCAAGATTGTTGCACAGGTACACACATGGCAGTGTGATTTGCTGCCTTCCTCCCTTTCACCTATATCTGGCATTTCTCCCCGTGCTGTCTCTCCCCAAATCCCCACCCCCCACTGTCCCTCCCCTATTTCCCCCCAACAGACCCCAGTATGTAGTGCTCCCCTCCCTATGTCCATGTGTTCTCATTGTTCAACACCCGCCTATGAGGGAGAACATGCGGTGTTTGATTTTCTGCTCTTGTGTCAGTTTGCTGAGAATGATGGTTTCCAGGTTCATCCATGTCCCTACAAAGGACACGAACTCATCGTTTTTGATGGCTGCATAATATTCCATGGTGTATATGTGCCACATTTTCCCTGTCCAGTCTATCATTGATGGGCATTTGGGTTGGTTCCAGGTCTTTGCTATTGTAAACAGTGCCACAATGAACATTCATGTGCATGTGTCCTTATAGTAGAACGATTTATAATCCTTTGGTTATATACCCAGTAATGGGATTACTGGGTCAACGGAATTTCTATTTCTAGGTCCTTAAGGAATCGCCACACTGTCTTCCATAATGGTTGAACTAATTTACACTCCCACCAACTGTGTAAAAGTGTTCCTATTTCTCCACATCCTCTCCAGCATCTGTTGTCTCTAGATTTTTTAATGATCACAATTTGAACTGGCGTGAGATGGTATCTCAAGGTAGTTGTGATTTGCATTTCTCTAATGACCAGTGATGACGAGCATTTTTTCATGTGTTTGTTGGCCTTGTGTATGCCTTATTTTGTAAAGTGTCTGTTCATATCCTTTGCCCACTTTTGAATGGGCTTGTTTGTTTTCTTGTAAACCTGCTAAACCCCTTTTAAGGTAATTTGGTGGTGAATTCTATTTGTGTGTGTGTGTGTGATTTTTTTTTTTTTTTTTGAGATGGAGTCTCGCTCTTGCCTAGACTGGAGTGCAGTGGTGTGATCTCAGCTCACCACAACCTCTGCCTCCCGGGTTCAAGCAATTCCTCTGTCTCAGCTTCCCAAGTAGCTGGGATTACAGGCATGTGCCACCATGCCCAGCTACTTTTTTTTTTTTTTAATATTTTAAGTAGACGGGGTTTCACCATGTTGGTCAGGCTGGTATCAAACTCCTGACCTCGTGATCCACCCACCTCTGCCTCCCAAAGTGCTGGGATTACAGGCGTGAGCCACCACACCCAGCCAATTTGGTGGTGAATTCTAAAACTAACTATAGAGGATTTTGGAGTGGCCTGTTGAGGTATTATCCAAGCTATTGCATCTCATTTTTGAATATTGATCATAGTAAGTTGAGTGGTATTGACGAAGAAGAGATATTGGAGTTGTCAGTGGCTTCTGTTTATCTTGGCTGTCTTTGCCTTCTCCTGGTAGTGGGATGTGATGGAGCTGCTCTTTGAGGTTCAGAGGGTTCTCCTTTTCAAGAACTTGTTGAGGTATTCTGAAGGGTACCCTTTCCTCCTAACTTGATCCGATCTGGTCAGAGCCTTATAAATGATGTGTCTGTATCCCGCCTGAATGTATCACCTTTTTTTTTCTTTCTCACTTCACCTTTGATTAGAGGGATGGTTTGGGAATGTGTTGGGCCAGTGTGAGGTATTTTCATTTGCCTATACAAACTCTAAGGCTTTATAAGCACACTTACAGAGATCTCTGACCTGAAGGTCCAAGGGGACCCAGGGCCCCATTTCTTGGCGCAGGTCTGTTGTAGCATTTCTCATCCTTAGTTGCCCTGTGGAGCCAGGCTGACCAGTGCCAGGAAGGCCGGACTCATCAGTTGATGCCAGCTGGTGCCTCATGGCTGGAGATAAATCAAGGGAGGTAGGAGAGTTGCAGATAAACTGTAGTTCGACCCCCTTAACTTCTTCTCTACAATCCCCTTCTACACTTAATGCCTCTTAAGCTTGGAAAAAAGTAGTTCTCTGTGAATTAGGTTGTATCATAAAGGCCCCTTCCACTAGATTCAGATTCATTGGCTGAAAAAACAAGCATCAAGATGCCAAGTTTTAGGATCCATTGTGACCCCAGAATGGGGGGAGTCTGATCCCATCCTGAGTCTCATCCAGGATGAGAGGGAAGCAGCCAACTGTGGCCAACAGTCAGCAGTCCAAACCCTGGCAGGAGCTCCAGCCCTAGGTTTTCCTCCCTCCCTGTGTCTTATAAATGTTGCCCCCCTCCCCATCAGAGCATTTCCAACCATCTTCTTTGGTTTTTCCAGTGCCCGAGCAAAAGAGATTGGTCTGGGACTGCCTCCTGCCTCCTTGGGTCTGGGAGAGACAGGGTTCTGAGGCTGACTCCTGTAGCTGGTGGGGCAATGGGACTGCAGTGTCATGGCAGGAAAGAGCTGAGTGGAGAAAGAATCCAACATTCAGCTCTGGCAGTTTGTCTGTGTGTCATCCTAGCACTGCGCACAGTTTGTATTGCAGTACATTCATTCACTGCGCACAGTTTGTATTGCAGGTGAAAGGGGACCAGTTTCTTGGTTGCTTAGCTACAAGTTGTTCATCCCAAGTGGAATGGAGGGAAATGTGCATGGCTGAGAAGCCCTAGGGCTGTTTGCAGCTCTTTTACCTTGTCCAGCAGGCTGGACTCCTGCTGGGACTCCTGACAGCACCAAGATCCCAAAGGCTTAATTTGATGTTTGGATGTGGTAGGAAAATAAATTGCTGATCCAAAAGTAGCCCAGGGATTTGGGGATCTCCTTCACTGTTTTTGTCTCTTTTATTCTGGCACTCAAAGAAGAGAATTTGGGTTTTTTTCTTTTGTTTTTTGTTTTTTTTTCCATTTTTCTCCATGTTTTCCTAGACTTCTCTCCTCACAATTTTTTGCACCCACAGTAGCTCAAAACATGATCATCTTGAGAGTCTGGTTTTATATTTTTTCTAATCATGAGGTTCTATTCTCTGATCAAACATAATTGATTCTCTTTCATTGCATTGAAAAGAAAGATTTCTTCCTGGTTGAAAAGCTGAACCCTCCAGAGTGGCTCCACCCTCCTCCTGCTATTTACCATGTAGTTAGTGACTTTGGTTCCTGGTATACAGCTCTGGAATTTTCCTCTGCGTACCTTGCATATCTTACCCTAGATAAAACCAAACATTTTTTTTTTAATAGGAGGAAATATCTTTTAGAGCCAATAACCCTAGGCAAAATTGTGAAACAGAATTTTATCTCTTCACTGCTCAGCCTACTCGCTACCCCATTGCATTTGGCCAGATTTTTGCCTCATTAAAACACAATTACACTGTGTCCAGTTTCTTAGACCACTGTCAAGTAGTTGCTTAGAAAATCTGATAAAACAGTGGTGCTAAAATGTTAATAAATGGTAACAGCTCCATGTGTTCCCCTTCCTAGATAATATTCCAACAGACGCTCCCAAGTACACATCCCCTGAGGACCCCAGCCCAGAGAGAGAGCTGGGTCCACACTCTGGTTTTTTGTTTTT